AGGGGCAAATCGGCCAGTGGCCCGGGCCACGCCGCAGGGGATGGTGATCGGTTGAACGATATTCAGATGTTTCTCGTCGCCACGGCCAATTTCTCATAACACCAACATCACAAAGCGGATGTCGTTCGAAAAGCAAGCAATGAGATGGGCCCGAATTGTCTTAGAATTCCGTTCCGAGCTTCGGCATGAATTTGGTGCGGTTTTTCGGGGCCAGGAATGAAGACTACAAACAAAATCCACATGACAATCACTTCGTTATTCGCTCGTTGTTTCGAGGTTCTGCATGGACCGGCATCTACGCAAATATCCGTTGCAGCACGTCTGCAAGGTCGGTGCAGTGCTGTTTCTCGTCGCCACGGCCAGTTTCGCCTCAAGATGGAAGTCGGGATGGACCCCGCGCGGCCGTTGCGGCAGAGAGGGTCTGCCAAGCGACACACGAGGGCAATCGTGTTGAGATGGCCGCGCTCCTCTTCCTCCTGCTCCTCCTCCCCCTCCTCCTCTTCCTGCTCCTGCTCCTGCTCCTGCTCCTCCTCCTCCTCCTCCTCCTCCTCCCCCAGGTGGTTCGGCAGGCGGCCCAGGGGCGGCCCGTTCACCCGACCCCCCAGCCTTCCCGCCCCCCGCCGTGGGCGCGCGAGGTGCCATAACGGGCGGCGCGCGCCGCAGCCGCCCCCCTTCTCCCGCCTGGCACAGGCGCTTGCGGCGGAGGTCACCAAATGCCGCAAGGCCTTGCACCAGATGCGCCGCCTCTACCAGAACGACGAGCACCCCCTGGTGGCCATGGCCAGAGCCGAGCTGGCAAAGGCAGAGGCCACTGCACGAGCGAGCATGGCGCCCGACGACCTCTTGCGCAGCGCCAAGGATCGTCTGGCAGCCAAGGAGGCGGAGCACGCGAGTCAGACCAAGCGTGTGGCGGAGCTGCAGCAGCAGCTGGACGACGGGCAGAAGCGGCTCACGAGTCTCGCGGCGGAGCTCTCCACCATGCAGGCCGAGGCGGCCCAGGCTCAGGCAGCGGTCGCCGCTGCTGCAGCAGAGGCCACTGCCCGTGTCTCAAGCCAAGTTTCTGCCGCAGCCGCTGCCGACGCCACCCAGACCCTCGCGCACGTTCAGAGTCTGTTTGCGCAAGCCCAGCGAGCGGCCTCGGAGGGTGCCAGCCGTGACTCGGTGGGGGCTCAACTCCTGGTTTCCCTGGAGCGCCAGCTGGCCGCGCCGCCTGCAGCCCCTGCCGCCGCGCAGACACCCGCTGCCGCCGCTCCATCTGCCCAGAGGGTCGGCATCCAGCAGGTTGGCGGGACATTTCGTACTTCAGAGGACGGCGCTGCATCCGAGGCTTGGGAGTACTCTTAGACGACGAGGGCTTCGGGGCTCCCGCAGACGTACAATCGGGCTGGTCACCTTCAATGGCAGCTGTTGGACTTCGTGTCATGCGTTTTTGACTGGAGGCGCGGATAACGCCAAGATTGTGGTTGCGCAGGAGCTCAGGATATATGGAGAACGTCTGGACAAGGCTAGGTGCTGGGCCAGTTCCAGAGGCTGGTCGCCGTACATCACAGCATGTCGTCGTCTCCCCTCAGGGAAACCGAGCGCTGGAGTGGCTATATTTGCGCGGTCACATGTGCCCACTACGTTGCTCAGTGGGCCAGGGGGTGAGCGCGCATTTGAGGTCTTCCCAGCGTGGCCAGTGGTTATTCATGTGATTATGGGACTACCTGGCGGCTCTCTTCTGGGATCTGTTTATATGGAGTCTGTCAGTGAATACGTCGCAGCCAATCTGCAGCGGTACTGCCGATTGGCCGAGTACCTTAGGTTCTTTGGGCTGCCGTTTCTTTTGGGTGGTGATTGGAACTGCTCTCCTCAGGATTTTGCTACCTCAGGCTTGGCAGACATTCTCAATGGCGCCCCTATGTGCTGCTCAGGCGCGGGCACGTGCCGATCCGCAGCGGGCAACTACTCTGCGATCGACGACTGGATTGTCTCGAGAGATCTCCAGGCCGCTCGCCACCGCCCACATGTCTTGGAAGCCTGGCCAGCTCGCCCACACCGTCCAGTACGATGCGATCTCGCAGCTCACCCAAGGCGCTCGCGACAGCTCACGACGGCATCACCGCGAGCCTTCCCTCGAGCGGCGCCGTCCAGCGCAGGGGCCCACCCACTTCACGGACCACCTCCTGGCCGTGGTCGCCTCGACATTATAGAGGCTGGCGCCCATCAGAAGGCCCCTGCCACCCCACTCCAGGCCCAACAGAGAATAGATGCCATCTATGCTGTTCTGGTTTCGCACACCGAACAGGATTTGCTGCGCATCTATCAGATAGAGGGCCCTACACGGGGCGAGCGCAGGGCACGAAGCACGTCTGGCGTCCTCTCGGCGGCCCCCGTCGTGGGCCACATCCAGCTGCGGGCAGCGAGCCCGGGTATTTACATGCTGTGGCGCTGGCAGTCCGCGACGTTGCCATCCGACTTGATCGAGGGCAGAGGGATCAGGATCGCCGGCGTCGCTTAGGTCGTCTACTACGGCCTGGGCACCGACAAGACGTAACCACAAAAGAGGCCCGTCTTCTTTTGGACCACGCATGGCCAATCCTAAGAACGGCTAGCGTCCAACATCTCACAATCGCCTCCCTGTGCATGGAAGCTTTGGCGGGGCAGCTCTCTGGTATTGCAGTTGCTCAGGAGACCGTCGCTGCTAGGGCGAGGCTCGCGGGTTTCCACAAGTGGGCCAAGGAGACCTTCGCTTCGGGCCCAGCGCGGCTGTTCCATCTCACGCGCATCCACACTTGGGTGCACAGTCAAGCTCAGCGGCATGGCGAACTGTCCACCCATCCCCAGGCGATTGCGGACAGTCAGATGGACATGTGGAATGGCATCTGGGAAGGGCGCCCAGTCACTATTCCTGCTGGTCCTGACGCATACTTTGCTTCAGCTCACACGGGTTCTTCGAATGACACTCCTCATACGTGCGACGGAGTTACTCCTACCGCTCTTCTGGACGACGCTGATCATGATATCTTGAGTGACTTGGCCAGACTGCCAGCCAGGGCACTACCAGTACCCACTGTCGATCAGGTTCGGAGAGCAGCCCACACCTTCCCCTGGCGCACAGGATTGGGTCACGATGGCATTCCACCGAGGGCGTGGTCATTACTTACAGACTCTGCTTTGGCGATGGTGGTATACCTATTTTGTGCAGCTGAGTCATGGGGGCGATGGCCCTCGGCGATGCTTTCTGTGCACATTATGTTTTTGGCTAAACCCCAAGGGGGATTTCGCCCGATCGCCCTGTTGCCATCACTGTATCGAGTGTACACAAAGCTTCGCATAGCGCGCGTTCGCCAGTGGATAGCGGATCATAGCAGACCTTTCTTTGCTCTTTGTGCTGGCAAGTCCACGTTGGAGGTGGGTGCGCGCACACTGCTTCGCGATGAAGCCCGAGAGGGCGAGGCGGACACGGGCGCGCTCACTGCTTTGCTTGACATCAGCAAATGTTTTGACAGAGTATGTTGGGATCGCGTTATACGAGCAGCTGCGGAGACGGAATTTCCTACAGCGCTGTTGCGTCTATGTTTGACCATGTACTATGCGCCGCGCCGGATTCGATGGGGGGGGCTTCTTACTCATGCGCAGCGCAGGTTCAGAGAGGCGTGCTCCCAGGCTGCCCAGTCGCAATGTTTCTGTTGCAGATGGTCAGGATGCTTCCGTTTGACATCTTTCCAGCAGTCTTTCGCGAAAGACAGTGTGCATCATACTCTGGATATATATGCGGATGACATCACCCTGCAAGTGGAGCCCCCCCCGCAAGATCTGGCGTACCACTCTGTTCGAATCCTGCAGCGCCTAGCGGCAGCTCTTCTGGCCCTGGACCTGCCAATCGCCAGAGACAAGGCTAAGCTGCTTTCATCCATCAATGGGATCGCCGCAAAGGTGGCTCACATCATGCGCAACCACGGGTTTCAGGCCACTTCTGTTCTGGAAGTTCTAGGCGTGGAAACCAGAGGAGGTCGCGGGCTACATTTCTCTTTGACCAGGAAACGCATGCGAAAGTTCAGGAAGAGACTCCCTCGCTTCAAGAGGCTGATGGGTCTTGCGCGCATAGGACGGGCCATTGCTCAACCTTCCTTGGCCCCAGCGATGCTCTATGGTGTTCAGGTTGTTGGGGCTTCGGCCAGTATCATACGATCGATGACAAAGATGACGAGATTGGGATGGCACAGGACTCCGCCAGGAACGTCCTCGCGGCTGGCTTCACAACTGGAACCTCGTCGCAATGAACATCTAGAGGTCTTCGCCGTGGCAGAGCTATTGTATCAGTGGGCTCAGATGGCCTCGGATCCCGCCGTGACCCACTCTCTAATGGATAAGGCTTTCGCCACCCAGAGAGCCCGTCTCGGAACCAATCCTGAAGCCAGGGGCGTTGCGGGCCCCGCGGGGGCCGTCTGGAACATCTTGCAGCGTCTGCGGTGGAGGGCGACCTCGGCCTTTCACTGGAGGGCGGCGTCTGGCATCCAATTGGATCCCACGGAGGCGCCACCAGATTGGATTCGCACCCTAGCCAGACGTGCTCATGCGAATCTCAAATGGGAGGAATGGGCGACACGAGCAGATCATGCGCCAGAACTTCCAGCTCCTGCGCGACACGGCTGTGGACACTGGCTTGCACCTCTCCAGCTTTTGCTCTCGCCCAATGACCAGGCCAAGACTTGGAAGATGTCGCTGAGGGCCCAGGCTGCCTTACGCAGCACTGTCATTGGAGGGCAATGGTCTCAATGGCGATTGTTTCAGCATGGATATACCAATCATGGTTGTTGTCTGCAGTGCATGTCCACCTTGGACACTTGGGCTCCGGAGGTCGAGGAGGACGATCGCAGGGGCCAGGCTTCACGCGCTGAATCTGCTACTTGCTCGCGGCTACCAACGGTATCGCCCGAGGAGACGGGCGAGGAAGTTCAGGATGAAGTTAAAGGCACGTTGCATCACAGGCTATGGTTCTTTCCTTGTTTGGAGGAGGCACGCGCAAGGGCGGTCGACCCCGACATTATCGAGGAAGCTCGACGTGCGGATCCAGCTGATCTTTCTTTCACACGTGGATTGCTACCGCGCGATTGCCTTCCTCTCGTGCCGCCACCTCGTCTCCACGAGATATGGCGCTATGCTTATGGTGGAGACCAGCAGGACATCACAGGAGAAATATACACTGACGGAGCAGGACGGACCCACACTGGATGGCCTGAGGCGGCGAGAGCTGGATGGGCATTGCGCTTGTGAATGGTACGCAGCTTCGGGGGCTTGCCTTTGGGCCGTTGCCAGGCTATCAGCAGTCCGTCCCTCGAGCAGAGATGTACGCGATCATAATGGTGTTGCGAAATGGATTTCTTCCGCTTCACATTCACACAGATTTATGATGACGATTGATGCGCTCCAGAGAGGACGTCACTGGTTTTTGCATCGTCGCAGGCAACATGTGGACCTGTGGCGGGAGATGGAGGCTCATCGAGGATCATGGTGGACTGAGCTCGGACCTCCCGATCAGATGTGTGAAAGCTCATCAGACTGCGAAGGAGAGTCTTCGTCATGACGGCAAAAAGGGTAATGACTACGCGGATGTCGCAGCCAAGAGAGGCCTCGCAGTTCATGACATCCTAAGAGCGGCTCGAAACACACATCGACGCTTACTGGAACGTGTTCGTCAGGTGGCATGCTGGATAGGATCGCCCCAGGAGCTGACGGACCAGCACCCCGACCGCGCCGCGCCGATGTCCCGCCGCTGCCGAGCCCAGCAGGGCAGCCGCTGCAGAAGGCGCCAGGTGGCAGAGCGCGCGGCAAGGCTGCGGCGCCCGCAGGTGCTGCCAGGCGGGTGGCAACGGCATGCCCCTGATAGTGCGAGATGTGGTTGGAAATGTCAGCACTGCCCTCGTTTTGCTAGATCCTTTCTAGGGGCTCGTAGGATGGCTCAGCAGTGGTGCGCCGTGAGATCCCGTATGAGCCCCTCTTTGCCTCCGCAGGCTCCCGAGGCCTCAGGCACTGAGAACCCTTGGCTGAGGGGGGTCCCTTTGGAAGGAGCCACGGAGCTTCGGCTTGAAAGGCCTTTCGAGGACTCCCAGGACCAGGCCAGGTTGGTTCGGCATCGGGTGGAAGCCACCTCTCCTGTCGAGCCCCCCTCCTCCCCCCCCTCCGCCCGCGCCGCCGACCAGGTCCCATGCCGGGCCGTTGGCAGAGCTTGCGGGGCCTTCTGTCCGAATGGTCCGACCTCGGGTGACTTTTGCCACGCGTTCCCAAGGGATTGTTCGGGAAGCGGCCCTGGCAGTGGCCCCTTTGGCGTCCTCGGGGGAAAAACGCCCTGGCCTTCTGGGGCCCGCGTCCAGGGGCACGGACCCCGAGGCCGCTGCCGGCTTTGAAGGGGGCGGGGCGGTGTCGTCGACGTCGCGCCCTGTTCCGAGTCGTTTTTCCGCCGAACCCCCTCGGGCCCTCCTTCCCACATTTGGGTTCGTGCCCCCAGAGGCGGCCAGAGGACACATCCTGTATAGGGCGGGTCATCTCATAGGATGCACGCGCTGTGGGTCTTTCTCAGAGCGCGCAGCCCGTTCGTAACTATCTGCCACCTGCGACCCCTCGGTCCTGGTGGGGAATCCCCAGCGCAGGTGGCGCAGAGATAACTTCGCGCCGGGGCGGCACCTTCGAGAGGGGCGGCGTCGCCCGATTCCTCTGCCTCGCCGAATGCCGGTTTCGGATCCTGCCGTCCAGTGGCTGGGTCTTCTCATGTAAATGAATATTTCTTCATTTATCGGCTCGCTCATGCCGACTGGCATGAGTCAGAGCACGCCCTGTCGCCGTGATGCGGGTGCTGGGCTATAGCAGGCTGTGCTCTTTTGGTGTGCGATTGTGCGTCTCTCGTCTTGTCCTGGTCTCTTGCCGTCCCCCATGCCTGAACTCGGCGCGTCGCTCTATCTGCGTTTCCTCCTCCTCCTCCTCCTCCTCCTCCTCCTCCTCCTCCCTCCTCCTCCTCTTCCTCCTCCTCCACCTCCTCCACCTCTCAAGCCGTTCTGGTGCAAGGCTTCCTTCGGGGCGAGGCGGCCCCGCCAGACACCGCGCGCGCGTGCCGCGCACGGGCCGGCGCCACGCGCCCGCTGCGTGCGTCCGCGGCTTGAGGGGCGCTTTTTCGGCGGCAAACGTCGCGCGGTGCCGTGATCTCGCGTGCGTGGGCAAGACGGGAAGCCAGAGGCGTGCTTAACGCTCAGCTTCCAGACATGGCGGCAAGAAACGCTATGAGTATTGCGTATGTGTGCAGTGCCTTCGCTCTTGGGTGTATAAGTCTCGGGCTGGCCAGCCAGGTTGGGAAGGGTGTCATACATGCGGAGCCCCTTGGCCCGCCTGTCGCACTGGTGCTGCAGCAGGGCAATCCGTCTCCTTCAGTGTGGACGACACCCCGCTGGCGCAGCAGCTCATGCCCAAGTACAAGGCGGCGCGTGAGGCCAAGGACGCTGCCGCACTCCAGGCCTTGGAGCTGGT